CACTGGTTGACCACTCACAGTTCCCCATCTGCCTCCTCGTTTTGAATGCACAAGTATGTGTGTCTGTCCCTCCTGTCCCCGTTTTTTGCTCTACCTACTTCCACCTGCAGAGTTCCATGTTGACTGCGTTGATGCGTTGACTCGTTGACCACTGGTTGACCACTCACAGTTCCCCATCTGGCTCTTCGTTTTCTAATGCACAAGTATCTGTGTCTGTGCCTCCTGTTCCTGTTTTTTGCTACCTACTTCCACCTTCAGAGTTCCACGTTGACTGCGTTGACCAGTGGTTGACCACTCGTCGCCCGTTCTGCCCGGTCTGCAAGCGAGACGCACACCCCCCCACCCACCTCTCCCCTTCCTCCCCTCCTCTCGCCTCCACCTCCTCCTCCTCCACCACCGCTTCCGCTGCTTTAGCTTCCTCTTCCTCTGTCGCTGCTTCGACTGCTCTCTTCGTCTCCTCTCTGCTCTACCCTCTCATCCGCTCCTTCTCTCCCCTCCCATCCCTGCCCACCGCATCCAACTCCACTAATACCGCACCCAACCCCTCAAATTCCGCATCTGGAAGCAGCAGGAGAACCAGACCTTCCCGATCCTCCTCCTCCTCTTCTTCCACCTCCTCATCCTCCTCCTCCCTCTCCTCTCCATCTCCCCACTCTCCCACAAACCCCATCACCGCACTCCACCCTCCCGGACTCTCTCTCTCCTCCTTCCCCCCCTCAGCCACCCCACCCACCTCCATCCCCACTCTCCCCTCCTCCCACTTCCCCACTCCCCGGTTCATCGCAGCTTCAACCGCCTCCTCCTCCTCCCTTTCCCCTCCTGACCCGTCCCGCGAACCCTTTTTGCTGCATCACCCTTCGAGGGACTCAGATGATGAAGAGACGGGGGAGATTAGACCGGTTCCATGCCAGGGTTTACCCCGCCGTCGCCTCTACCCTCTCATTTGCAGGTCACAGATTGAGTGGTACCCTTTTTTTTGTGTTCTCCACTTTTGGGGCGTTGTTTACTGGAATCAAATGCTAAAATGCTGCCATCCCTTTCTAAAAACCTTGGGGCAAGGAAAGGACACAAACCTATGTTGCATGCATGGTGGGCATGGTAGCCATATGGTGTTATCAGTTCTGGTGAATCACCCTGGCAAAGTTCGTTACAGCCTTTGATTTCAGGGCGATTCCGGGCTGGGGCTCATAAAAATAATACCGTATGTAGAATAATATGTTGCATACAACTGTACAGAGCTCTACAACTGAACTTATGTACCATCTAAAGGTTATGATCAAACATATTGTACCGACTAGTGGGATGTAGCCACACTACTACTGTGCTGCTTTACTGGGAGGGAGGCCTATCAAGCATTTTGCTGACCGCTTATTCACAGGAGCTTGCTGCAATCAGTGAAGGGGAAAGGGACTCAGGTTGAAACAGGTAGGAGAGTTAAACAGGAGGTGGAAGCTGATGGGACAGTGGCGGTTGGGATTGGGGGATGAGAAAGTAAGAGAGGGGCGTGAGGAGGACGGAGGGAGAAGGATGAAGAGGGAAGAGGAAGGAGGGTGGAGGGAAGAGGAGGAGGATGAGGAGGAGGAAGGTGGAGGGAAGGGGGCAAGAGGGGAAGATGGATGGAGGAGGAGGAAGGACAAAGGAGGGAGTTGCACATTTGGCCCAAACCAGAGAGGCCGAGGGGAAGATGGGCAATTGGGCAACTCTCCCTGTATGCCGATTGTGGTGCCGGTTGAGACGTCCGAGTGTTGTACCGAAACAAAGGAATCGTTTTCCCGAAGTTGCATGGTAAGCGTTGTCGCAAAAGAATCATTGAGAGTGGGCTGTTGTCGCGAGCTCCGCCGCCCGTTTACGCTGCGATTGGGGCGGGCTCTGCCTCGGCTCCTGCCGCCCCATCAACCGACCGCTGAGAGTCAGGACAGCTGTCGGCGCCACACGGGACGATCCCCGCCGCCCGGCGCGCATCTTGAAAGCCAGGCACGTGGGGACCACGTTCTTCAGTGCGGCTGCCGCCTGCTGGGGCTGCTGAAGTAGTTTCCACGAGGAGAGTTTTTTTTTCGGGCTGACCGGGGCTTCTGGAGCTTCGGGAACAGAAAATCTCCAGCTTCTTGGATGCAGGTTTGGAGAAATTAGGCTCGGGAAAGTCAGGTTGGGGGAACTTGATGTCAGGAATTGCAACAAGCGCGGAAATCGCGGCGGGGGAACGCGGCGGGAGATTTCATCAGCATGGGTGAAGCGGCGGGAGGGAGGAGGCGGAGGGGGAGCCAGCACGTGTCAGCGAGTACTTGGTCGATTGTGGGCCGCATGAGGGGGTCCACAGCGAGCATCCAACGGATGAGATTCTTCGCGTCGTCCGAGATCGACGACCAGCAGGGCGCCTCCCAATCCGCGATATCGTCGAGCTCTCTAACGTTATTACGGAACAGAGGCCATGTTCCCGAAAGCATCGCGTACAATAACACGCCGAGGCTCCAGATATCAGCGGATTCATCGTACGGCTCTAAAGCCATCACTTCAGGCGCCTCGTACGGGTAGCTTCCAGCGTAGCCAATCACCTGCTGCCAGCGAGGCACCTCCACCGACAGCCCGAAATCTGTGAGTTTCGCGACGTGTTGCGGGTTACCCGCAACAGAGGACGACTGCGAAATGTTGTGCGAAAAAGAATCCGGGGCTGCGACTCCAGGAGCAGTTTTTTTCGGGCAGAGGAGGACGTTTTCGGGCTTGATGTCGCGGTGAACAATGCTGTTATCGTGACACTCTTTAACGGCGCGAGCCACCGACGCGAAAAATATCTCGGGACTCCGCTTCGCTAAGCATCCCTTCATGCTAAAAAGGTCCCCTCCGGTCCCGAGCTCCATGAGCATGTATAACGAGTCTCTGTCCGCGTACACCGCTTCCAATCCAATTATATGTCCGCAGCCCTTTCCGCGAAGCTTCGCCCATGATTTCGATCTCCCGCCGCGCCGCGGCGTGCGCGTTCTCCCGCACACGGCGCGCGAAACGCGCTTGCATGCGAACTCGCGCGCGGAGCGGCGGTCGACGAGGCGCCAGACGACGCCGTACTGCCCCTTGCCGAGCACGTCGACGGCGGTGAAGTTCGCGCGAAGCGCGGCGGTGGGGAGGAGTTCGATGCGGTGCTGATGGTGATGGTGCGAGGATGCTGAAGTTGACCGATGCTCCATGATTGTATACGCCTGGTAATAACAAGATTTTATTTGTGGCAGCAAGAACTCTCCTATGAAGGACTCGCGGCTGAGTAGAAAGAAAACGATTAATCCGTAATTATTTTCGCTGAGCTTGGACAGAGCAGAGTGGCTAGAGCGAAGTCAGAAGTCTTGGAAGACGAGTTCGGACAACTGGAGCCACGGCGATTCACGAGTCTGATGAACCTTGAATTGGATGCTAAACACTAAATAGTGCTGCTGGGTCAGGATGTGAGCGACTTGAATGTTCAAAACCAGTGGGGTACGCGATGGGTGACGTACGACGACTGGTGGAATAACTGTGACGCGATATGCGGAGGCGGAGGGGGCGCGGATTTCTGGCAATGTAGAATGGAATTCTTTCTGGTTTGGGGCGTGCATTGCACCGTATCGGACCGCAGCGCAGCGCAGCTAGCATTGCGCGGCGGTGGTGGTGGTGAAGGTGGGTTTGCTTTGCCAGCTGCACCGCGCTGCACGCGGGCGGGCGGGCAACCGCACTGCTTGTCGAATTTCTTGGAATGGGGGCGCGGCGTGGAGTTACCGTACCCACTCGTTCTGTTCCGTCAGCACAGCTGCCCAGCCCTACCCCAACCTCGGCGCGGCTTGGCCGAATCGTTCGTTTCGGTAGGCCCCCTTCGTTTGCTCGTTCAGATCGTTCATTCCGCTACAGTATTCGTCTCTGGCGGGTCCTGAAACAGTTTGCCGTGCCCTGAACCCTGCCCGTGTACCCGCAAACAGTTTGCCGCTGAAAATACCTGCCCTGGACCATTCCCCCCATCCCCCCCCACCTCGATTCCTCGACTCCTCCTGGAGAACGAAACGCCCACTTCGACATTTCAAACGGGCTGCCTCTGGCCAATGGTATTGTTTTCCACTGGGCAGGTGGGGTGCAACGGGTTGGGCTGATGGGAAAAGCTTTCGGATGCATTCAAGTCAGCCACTCGCTGCTCCCAGGGACATTCGGTTGTGTTGTTCAGACTTTGGGGCTGCGGGGAGGAAGTGGCTGTTGCCTTCCCATGATAACGAAATGGTGAGTGTCGGTGCGCAGATTCTTTTTTGTTGCATGATGCTCACGCTCCAGTCAGCACAGCACTGCAAAAACTGGAGAACGAAGCACAGTCAATTACGTTTTGACTGGTACAACTCAGCGACAAAAAGGACGTGTGGACGCGTGGCACGGCAGCTGTGAAACAAACTGCTTGTCACATGGGACTAGACGGGCCGTCGGGAAAAACCAGACGGTTGTCGTCATCCGTCAGCCAGAGCTCGTTGGACTTGGGGACCGCCGATGCGACATGACAACTGTCGAGCACACAATCCAGACCGTAGGAGCAGCGGATGACGGGAAACCGCGAGCAGCATTTCAACTCCACACCGCCAAACCGAAAGTCGCCGTCAAGTGCGGAGCATTCCAACTTCACCCAGCTCTGTTCGGTTCAGTCTGGTCGGGTCAGGTCAGAGGTTGGATATTGCCCAGTCACAACACAACTGCAATGGTCGTTCCAACTGGTATCATCTTGTAGCGCATTCCATAACAGATTGTACCGGGAACGGCACGGCAGTTCTTCTCTCTCGTTGGAACATATAGGGCGCTAGGTCACCCCACAAGTATTGTAGTACACTGTATGTAACACAAGATGAAGCAAAGCAACATACATCTGCTAACTACAACTAATTATTTAACACGAAGATGTACCAGGATCAGATGCCATGGTAGCTGCCTGCACACCAGTTATGGCAATCGTGGTAACCAAGTCCCTCACTGTATCGCTATTTGTCACGTCACTGACAGGCCGCCTCAATCCCTGTAGTACAGTCCCCATCGCTACACCTCCCGACGTCCGTTGCTGCTTGTACATATCTGTGCTGCTGTGCATATCGGGGAAAATCAGCACTGTAGCTTTCCCCGCCACGTCCGAGTTATCAAATAAAATAGACCCGCTCCTTCTTTTGTCACCCACTGCAGTGGCATACGGAAGGGGCCCCTCTACTGCTAGGTCGGGCCTTTGCTCCTTCACAATATGTGCTGCCTCCTCTATTCGCTCCGCAAGATGACCTGGCAGGCACAGAGAGGAGATGGAGAAGTGGGGGCGGGGGGGGAGGGGAGGGTACAGCAGGGATTGATTAAAGGTCTAATGTGTGAAGACATTACTTCAGTCCAACGGACCAGAAAATATCCAATATTTTGTCCTCCCCACTCCCCCCCCCCTCCCCCCTCCCCCCCCTCCCGTTTCCCCCATTTCCCCCTTCAAAACCCCCTCCCCGCCCAGCCTCCCCCAACCCCGCCCAGCCCCCTCCCATGCTCTTGCTTTGAGACCATCCCTGCAACCAATATCCAATATCCCCTCACCTCTAGAAGCACCCTGGTGGTTGGATTGCGAGGACAGCAGAGCGACACGTGGCTCCACGCCAAAGGCTGCCGCCGTGTCAGCCGATGACATGGCGATCATCGCAAGCTCCTCAGCCGTTGGATCGGCAGTGGCAATCCCATTGGTCGGCCGCCGAAGCGCCCAGGCTCGGTGCCACAGCGGTGGAGTTTGAGCCAATCAGAGGAAGGGTGTTTTCAGCGCTGTCTCCATATACCAGCACTTTATCCGGGAGACACATGAAAACTACCCCCGAAACCACGGGCATTTCCGGCCGCGTCTTGATCACCCCCCGTACAATCCTCCCGTTCCCGTTCGGCCGAATCCCGCCGACCGCCATCCCGTCCGCCTCTCCCGCAGCAACCATCGCCGAACCAAACGACGCAGGGTCGGAAAGCAGCAGCCGCCGAGCCTCCTCGACGCTCATCGTCACCCCCCGTTCCAACTGCGCCTGGCAAATCAACTCCACGTACCGATCCAGGTCCGGGCTTGCTCCGGGATCGACAATATTAGCTCCGGATAAATCCACGCACTGATTCTTCGCTTGCAAAAGCACCTCCTCGGGATTTCCGAGAAGAGTCAACTTGCAAAGCGATCTCCTCAGAACCTCCCCGGCCGCTTGCACCACCTTCGGCTCGGTCCCCTTAGCCAGGACCACGTGTGATTGAGCCTCCCGGGCCCGGGAGAAAATACCGCACTCGAACACGCGCGGGGGTGACGTGTGCGGGATGGGCGGAGGAAGCTTCCTGGAAGAGGATGCGGTGGATAGCGAGCGTGTCGGCGTGTTCTTGAAAGAGGTCCCGGGGCGCGGCGGATTTTGGCGGGGGAGGAGGCGTGGAGGGAGGAGTGAGCGTGGGCGATTGAGAGACAGATGACGTGTGGGTCGAGCGGGGAGAGGAGGACAGGGAGCGAGGCAGACAGATGGGTTGACTGCAGGTGAGGGATAGGGGAAAGGGGAAGGGGGAGGGGGGAGGAAGAAGGGGGGGGGAGGGGGATAGTACGGGAGGGAAAAGGGCGGGAGAGGAAGGGGGTTGAGGGAAGATGAAGAAGGACGGTTGGAGGAAGTGTAGGAGAACTTCCCAAGCGAGGATCAATGAACGAAATAAGAGGTAGAAAATAAATGAAGGATATGAGATTGATATGAAATAATGTAAGGTGGAAAAACAGCTTACCCTAATCATGTGGTCGATGGTGAGAGTCGGTGGCGTACCACCGGATAGGACAACCGCCGCCACCCGCTTGTCGGCTTTCGCCTGACTGAGCTGCATTGCCCCCAGAAGCACATCCGTGTCACTCGCATGCGTTACAATGCACACTCCGCCCTCGTTACTGCCACTGTACACCCCATTCTCGTTATAGTCACACACGCTCGGAATCTCATCCACCAGCTCATGAAACGGCGCCGTCGCCACCACCGTTTTTGTCACATCCATCTGTGCGACCCGAGGCCCCCTTCCCAGCTGGCGGCTGACGTGGCAACTGCTAGACTCTGACGTGTCATGGCCGCCGCTGACGTGGCGGGATGTAGCGGCTACAGCTGGCGTCATGGAGGGAAAGGTGAAATACTGGCTGCTACTGCCGCTGATGACGCTGCTGCTGCTGCTGCTAATGTTGCTGCTGATGCTCCTCCTGCCCGCCTTTCCAGCAGCAGAGAAGGCAGATTGCGGCCCATATAACACCTCCCCCAGAACAGCCCTCCTCAGTTCCTCTACCGAGAGTGACTGTAACGAGGAATCCTCTGGTATAATCCCGAGCACCGGGATGGGCTGATGCTGATGTTCCTCTGACGGGTGGATGTAGGCCTGGGAGCGCGAGTGGGCTTCGATATAGTCACGCAGGCGCGGCCCCGAGCGCGAGGCGGGGCGGGAGGCGGAGCGGGAGGGGAAGCGGAGGGGATGGACGGAGCCGTGGGCGGAGCGGAGAGCGGAGCGGGGGGGGGGAGGGGGAGCGGGGCCGCATGGCCGCGGAATGCGGGGAGCGGAGGGCGCCGCGAGGGGAGGAGGTACGTTCACCAATAGTAGCGTTACTACCAGTGGTGGTGGTAGAACCACTGATACTGCTACTGCTGGTACTGCTGCTAGTGCTGAAGCTACTAGTTGGCGCGCCGTAGATTAGGGAGCCTGCCACGTGGACGTGCGTGCTCCGTAGGATGCGCGCGTGGTCCAGCATGCTCTGCGCCGCGTCCGCCTCCCAGTCGATCTCTTCCATGGTGAAATTCGGCTGCGCAAGGGGGGAGGGATGGGGGGAGGAATAAGGCGAGGCGGAAAGGGGAAGGGGGGAAGTTAGGATGCGCGCGTGCTCCAGCATGCTCTGCGCCTCGTCCGCCTATTTCCTCCATGCTGAGGAGTCAGGAGGAGGCGGAATGGGGGGAGGGGTGAGGGATGGGAGGCGGAAGGGGGAAACGGGGGACGGTGGGAGTTAGCATGTGCGCCGCGTCCAAGCTCGAGAGCGAACTGGGGAAAAGCAACAGGGGTCTCTAAAGCAAGGAGGCGAAACGCAGGAGGGAGAGAACCCGTAAAAAAAAAGGGTACGAGAGGGAGTGGAGGAGATGAGAGGACATACGTGGCTCGATTCAGCAGCAACCCGCGCGTCCGTTAACAATATCGCAGGCGCTCCTAACGCGGACGCGATCAGCCCGTTCACGGGCGCCGAGATAGTCCCGTCTTTTAAAGACGTCCCTTCCACCACCATGAAATCGTGCTCGCGTCGGCACCGCTCGTATGACATCAGCACATCGTCAAGTAAGTCGTCCACGCGATTCGCGTGTAGGAGAGTGGTCGCGCGGTCCTGCGTAACGCCGTACATGTCGCGCGCGGGGGGGGATAGGCGGAAGATCTTCCGCATGAGCTCCGCGCGGTTCCCGCCGTGCGTGGTGCAGTCGATCGGGCGGAAGTAGCCAATTCCGGGGGAGAGCGGCTCGAGCGCGTGAATCAAGCCGATGGTAACCGCAGCGGCTTGCACGTTGGAACCTACGCTGCGATTGGATAGAAAACCAAAAGGATAAAACATCTGAGACGAAATTGATTGGAAGAAAATGTGATTTTTGTTTTTTGAGCAAGAAAAACGAGGCCGTATTCCCACCAAAAAGTATCAGAAGTTGCCACAAGTGACGGTAGCTTTGCTGTTTTTTCGTGAGAATTTTGGTAATTGTTGTTACTATTGACGCGTACTTGGTGTGATGAAGGTAGATGTTGTCCGCACTGCCAATGCCACTGCTTGCAGCGGCCTTATCGGGCGGCTTATTGGCGCTCTCCACGCCGATGTCGCCGCCAGATGCGGCGGGACCGGCGCTGAAGCGCCTTGCGAACGCCAGTGGCGTGAGCTGCGTGAAATCGAGATCAACGTTGGACGGATACGGGGCTTGTGTGCAATCGAACGGTGCGTTGGAGGCGGTGGTGGGAGCAGCGGCTGCGTCCGGCCGGCATTTTTTCCATACGCTACCCCACCTGCGCGCCGCGACGCCGCCCATTCCGCCGGCAGCGGAAGCGGCGAGCGCGCTGAACGCGCGATTGGCGGCGTGACGCTGAAATTGCTGCGCCGCATGCGCGGCAAATAAGCGCAACATGATGATGCTGGGCGTTCGGAGGAGTCGCGGCGACGACGACGACGGGCGGAACGAAGGAGTCGCGGGCGACGACGACGGGAGGGATCAGGGAGATACGTCTGTTCGTTAGGCGGCTTGTCAATTACGAAATTGAGACGACGGGACGGCGATTGCGTATGACGAAATCTTGAAATTGACGCAGTTGAATGCACGAACGTTAATTTCACGCAGGAATGTGTACCAACACCGTTGATTTTCTACAGGGCTTTCGCTGAGGTGCGGTCGAAATTTTACAGTCACCGCGGTGGCTTTGAGTTTTTACTCATAACTGTGTACACATGAATGCGGAGATACACGGACGTTCTGCTTGAGAAACGCGGCTGGGAGTGACAGAGAAGCGAATTGAGATCTCATAAATTGGTCCAGAATGTCGAAAGGACGAACCAAATGGCGAGGGAAGTGGGGGCGGAAGGAGAGAAGGAGCGGAGAGGCAGTCGAAGCCGCCAGCATTGCAAAGCTCATCTCGAAAGTGCAATGTTCATGTTCCTGTAGTTGGCATGCATGGCGGGGAAGTCGAATGACGGGCATGGTGCTTTGAGATTGCTGGATGGAGGCTGCCTTGGTTTGGCTTGGCTGCCAGCTTTGCGACAACGACGCGCTCCGTGCGACCATCGGGGACGCCTAAAACAAAACGGCTGTTTGTCAGCAATCAGGGCATTTCGAGGGGTGCGAGGAAGGTGGAATAGAAACCATTTCGAGTTAACTGTAGAAACAAGCATGAATGCCCTCGAGTGGTTGGCATCAAGGGGACAGGCTGTTGCTGTTGCGAGAGACTTTTGAAATACACTTTGTCAAGCCTCCTTAATCGGGGGGGGCAAAAAAGTCACACGACAAAGTGACCGCCTCGTGATTGCTCATCACAGTTCTTTGCCGTGAAGTACGGTAGCGAATGAACGTTCATTTCCTACCTGCCAATCACGATCATCGCAGACGTCACTTGCAAACAAAAAAACACATTCTGTACAATTTGTGTGACCTTGAAATTGCAGTGGTCAATCGCTAGAATTCTGCCACTTTATCCTGCCCCTGGCTCCAGCTGCCCAAAAATTCACATCGTAAACTGTACAGAGACTGTTTCTGTCCACGATTCTCACGTCATAAATATTTATCGCCATGTCAGCAAGTCTCAAAAGCACGTCTCCAGGAGTCAACCGAGGTCGTATGCCACGCAACTGACTTCAAACTTCGTCCACCACTCCCAATTGTCGTACACGCGTGCCAGGGTACGGAATGCTGCCCAGCAAACAGCGAAGATCATGAATTTTGCTGAGCTGTTCCACGTCATAGATAAGGCCAATCGAGGCTAGTGCTTTCCGCGTGGAAATCGAGTGTCTCCAGCCCGATAGGTGGAAGAACCACTGTGTGCCACGTGATCTCCAACCCGACGGGTGGTACACAGTGGTTCTTCGCGTGGCAGTGGTCCAGCCACCTCTCGATTTGGGAACACAATACCGCTGTATCGAGGTGCATGATAGTATGTACTGCTGTAAATTACCAAACCCATTATAGAGAGGTAGTAAGTGGGGCACAATAGCCAGACATGGTAAAAAGGCACTATAACCCATAGCATGGTTACCATACCATCCAGCATCACAAAAAAATTACGTAAAGCATTTCCCAATAAGCCTCTGAGTTCCTCATCACACACACATCCCTACAGCACATATGACACAATCTTATGCGGAACCGCCCTGCCTGATGCTGCTGGTCTTCATGGCAGCTGCTTGCACGCCCGTGATTGCAATGGTTGTGACTATATCCTTCACAGTGCACCCCCGGCTCAAATCGTTCACAGGTCTCCTCAGCCCCTGCAGCACCGGACCCATGGCAACGGCTCCCGTGGACTGGACGGAGAGGGGGGGAAGAAGGCAAGAGTGAGCGAGTGGGAGTGGGAATGGGAGGGGAGAAGGGGAGGGAGTGCAAAATAGCAGGCACTCCAGGAGTGAGGGACTCCAGAGGTTTTTCAGAAAGTGTTTTTCTATAAGTTTCCGAGAAGCTTGAAAAGTCTCTTGCAGAAAGTAAGAGAGGTAGAATGCGAACGAGATAATGTATACCCCACCAGCTGCTCTACCCTGCCTGCTAGCACAATCTCACCTGCTGCACTGCCTTGTACGTGTTGTTGCCCGTGTTGAGATCAGGGAAGATGAGCACCGATGCCTGGAGGGGCAAGGAGAGGGGATGAAGTTGGGCAGGGGAGGGAATAAGGGCTTTTGAGGCGCCTCAAGAGTCGTGTTGCTGCCCCTGTTAAGATCAGGGAAGATGAGCACCGATGCCTGGAGAGGAAAGGAGAGGGGAGGGAGTGGGGCAGGGGGAGGGGTACAGGAGTTTAAGAGGGGGGGATGGGATTACAAGAGGGAAAGATCACCCTCGTACTGCCTTGTACGTGTTGTTGCCGGTGTTGAGATCAGGGAAGATGAGCACCGATGCCTGGAGGGGCCGGGGAGGGAGGGGGTTAAAGGAGACTAAGTGAGGGGGATGGGGGAAAGGCCACCCTCTCACTGCCTTGTACGTGTTGTTGCCGGTGTTGAGATCAGAGAAGATGAGCACCGATGCCTGGTAGGACAGGGGGAGGAAGTTGGGCAGGGGAGGGAATAAGGGCTTTTGAGGCGCCTCAAGAGTCGTGTTGTTGCCCGTATTGAGATCAGGGAAGATGAGCACCGATGCCTGGAGGGGCATGGGAGTGAGTGGGGCAGGGAGAGCGGAGGGAGAGGGGAGGGAGAGGGGAGAGAGTGCCTCTGAGGCGCCTCAAGAGTCGTGAGGGATGGGAGGGAGAGATCACGAGGGGATGGATTCAGTCCAGATATACTCATAATTACAAACTCTCACAGGAAAAGACGCGCGTATTCATCTAGTTGCTAAATCGCTCACCTGCCCTGCCCACAGTCCACAGAGTCCCTTTCTTTTCCCCATATTCCCCACGCACCTGCCCTGCCACCTCAGACGTCTTCCCCTTGAGCTTCGTCTTGGCTGTCTCCATGTTCACAGCAGCATCGTACTGCAGCGGCCCCTCCACCATGAGGTGAGGCCTGCACTGCGCTCCACCCCTCCGGTTCCCATATCCACCGCACTACACCGCACTCCACCGCACTGCACCCACCTGCCCTGCGACTTCAGACGTCTTCCCCTTGAGCTTCGTCTTGGCTGTCTCCATGTTCACAGCAGCATCGTACTGCAGCGGCCCCTCCACCATTAGGTCTGGCCTGCGCTCGTGCACGATGGCTGTGGCATCTGCCACCTTCTGAATCAGCGGGCCTGGAAGAAAACAGGCAAGGGAAGAGGAGACGAGAGGAGGAAGGAGAAGGGAGGGGATGGGAGAGTGGTGCATCAAACACCGAGAGCATGACACATCAGTGACAGCAGCGTCGTACTGCAACAACACGTACAAGGCAGTCAGTGCACCTGGTTGGCTATGGTATGGCTCGTGTGCCATTGTAACGAGGTGACTTTTGAGTCGACTCCAAAGTCACCCACCTCCACGCGCCACCAAAGGCAGTCAGTGCACCTGGTTGGCTATGGTATGGCTCGGAGCCAACACTTTCAATGAACCTCCATTTCACAACCCCAGCATCCCACCACCCCAGCATCCCACCATCCCACCATCCCAGCATCCCACCATCCCACCATCCCACCATCCCACCACCCCACCATCCCACCATCCCACCATCCCACCACCCCACCACCCCAGCATCCCACCATCCACCTGTGTTGGAGTCCCCAGTGGCATATGACAGCAGGGCGACACGTGGCTCCACGCCAAAGGCACTAAGTGCACCTGGTTACCATGCCTCTGGAGTGAACGCTTTGAGCCCCCACGGACCCACCCACCTGTGTTGGAGTCCCCAGTGGCGTACGACAGCAGAGCAACACGTGGCTCCACGCCAAAGGAACTAGGTGCACCTGGTTGGTTTACCATGCCTCAGGAGTGAACGCTTTGAGCCCCCACGCACCCACCCACCTGTGTTGGAGTCCCCAGTGGCGTACGACAGCAGAGCCACACGTGGCTCCACGCCAAAGGCACTAAGTGCACCTGGTTGGTTTACCATGCCTCAGGAGTGAACGCTTTGAGCCCCCACGCACCCACCTGTGTTTGAGTCCCCAGTAGCGCACGACAGCAGGGCCACACGTGGCTCCACGCCAAAGGCTGCACTCAGTGCACCTGGTTGGTTCACTGTGCAAGATGGTGCAAAGCTATGGTAACGCTGGGAGTGAGCACTTAGTTAGAACCCGCATAAACCCACCTGTGTTGGAGTCCCCAGTGGCGTACGACAGCAGCGCGACACGTGGCTCCACGCCAAAGGCCGCCGCCGTGTCAGCAGATGACATGGCGATCATCGCAAGCTCCTCAGCCGTTGGATTGGTGTTGATGGCGCAATCGCCGTACACGAGAACCTTGTCGGGCAGACACATGAAGAAGACTGATGAGACGATGGGCGTTTCTGGGAGGGTCTGCGGTGGAAGGAGGCACAAGGACAGGGGAGGAATGGGTGGGAAAGAGCAGAAGAATCAGGGTGTAAGGGGGAAGGGATGGAAGGGGGGGATTGGTGTTGATGGCGCAATGGCGGTACTCGAGAACCTTGTCGGGCAGACACATGAAGAATATGGATGAGACTATGGGGGTCTCTGGGAGGGCCTGTGTGGGAGGGAAGGGGGCGAGCACACAGGTGGGTGGGGCGAAGATTGGTGTTGATGGCACAACACAATCACCGGACACGAGGACCTTGTCGGGCAGACACATGAAGAAGACGGATGAGACGATGGGGGTCTCTGGGAGGGTCTGTAGAGGGACCGAGAGGGTAGGAGGGGACGGGCACACAGCGGAGAGATTGGGTGAGAGTGCAATGGCCGTACACGAGGACCTTGTCGGGCAGACACATGAAGAATACGGATGAGACGATGGGGGTCTCTGGGAGGGTCTGTGGGGGGAAGGAAGGGGCAGGAGGGGACGGGCACACAGGGGCGGTCATGAGCGAACAAACACAGGAAATCGGGTGGTGGGGGGGAAGGGGGATTGGTGTTGGGTGGTGTAATCGCCGTACACAAGAACCTTGTCAGGCAGACACATGAAGAACACTGAAGAGACTATGGGGGTCTCTGGTAGGGTCTGCGGGGGGAAGGGGTTGGAGAAGGAGGGCATGGGAATGGAGAAGGTGGGGGGGAGAGGGGGACACGAGGACCTTGTCGGGCAGATATGTGTGTTGATACCGCAATCGCCGTACACGAGCACCTTGTCGGGCAGACACATGAAGAATACGGATGAGACTATGGGGGTCTCTGGGAGGGTCTGTAGAGGAAAGGGGGGAGAAACAGGGGATGGGATTGGTTGGAAGAGAGGAGGGGGAGGAAGGGGGGAGCGAGATGGTTAAGAGAGAAGGGTAAATGAAGGGAAGGGGGAAGAGTGGGGGGAAGGGAATATTGGGTGATACCGCAATCGCCGTACACGAGGACCTTGTGGGGCAGACACATGAAGAAGACTGATGAGACTATGGGGGTCTCTGGGAGGGTCTGCGGCGGCAAAACAAACAGGGGCGAAAAGGAGGGGACAGGCAGACAGGGGTGAAAGGAACGGATGGGCACACAGGGGGCAGGGATGAGCGGGAAATTGAAGGAGAATCAGGGCACAGTGTTGGCGGCGGTGGTGTGCGTAGCCCCCGACACCATGCCATCCGCATCCCCTGCTGCTGCTGCCAGGGCACATAATGCCACCCACGGCTCACCTTGATGATTTGCAGAGCGGGCCGCACAGTATTGGCGGGTGGTGTGAATTGCACCCGACACCATGCCATCGGCGTCCCCTGCTGCCACCACAGCCACACCCAAACCTCACCCCACTCCCACGCACCCCATGCACTCACACACATGCACACCCTACCTTGATAGTCTGTAGCGCTGGCCGCACAGTGTTGGCGACGGTGGTGTGTATGGCCCCAGACACCATGCCATCCGCATCCCCTGCTGCCACCACAGCCACACCCAGACCCCACCCACTCCCACGCACCCCACAGGCCTGCAAACACGCACACGCACACCTTACCTGCAGGGCAGGTCGCACAGTGTTGGCGGTGGTGTGAATGGCACCCGACACCATGCCATCCGCATCCCCTGCTGCCACCATGGCTGTGGCCCCACACCCCATCCACTCACTTGCACCCACTGGCCTACATTCCGACACCTACCCACCCCCCCCATACCTCACCTTGATGATTTGCAGGGCGGGTCGCACGGTGTTGGCGGTGGTGTGAATGGCTCCAGACACCATCCCATCGGCGTCCCCTGCTGCCACCATGGCTGTGCATCCAGACCCGACCCACTCAAAGGCCTGCACTCAACCGCAACTGACCTTGATGATATGCAGGGCTGGTCGCACAGTGTTGGCAGTGATGTGAATAGCCCCCGACACCATGCCATCAGCATCTCCTGCTGCCACCATGGCTGTGCATCCAGACAGTGTCACCCACCCACCCACCTTAATGATCTGAAGAGCAGGGCGCACAGTGTTGGCGGTGGTGTGGATAGCCCCAGACACCATGCCATCGACGTCCCCTGCTGCCACCACAGCCACACCCAGACCCCACCCATTCACACCCCACAGGCTCACACACGTATATCTAGAGACCCACGGGAGGCTCACCTTGATGATCTGCAGGGCGGGTCGCACAGTGTTGGCGGTGGTGTGAATGGCCCCAGACACCATGCCATCGGCGTCCCCTGCTGCCACCATGGCTGTGCCAAAGTAATTCGCGTCCGTGATCAGCACCTCCTGTGCCTCTGCACAGGTCATGCCCTGGTGAATGAGGAGTGGGGAGGAGTCGAGAGGAGTTGGGAGGGGGAACGGAGGGGTTTGGCCTTGTCCTTATGCCCTGACAGCACCATGCCATCGGCGTCCCCTGCTGCCACCATGGCTGTGCCAAAGTAATTCGCGTCCGTCACCAGTATCTCTTGTGCCTCTGCACGGGTCATGCCCTGGTGGAGTGCGGTGGAGAGGGGTGGGGAGGAGTGGGGAGGTGTTGGGAGGAGTTGGGAGGAGGGACGGCACCACCATCCCCTGCTGCCACCATGGCTGTGCCAAAGTAATCCGCGTCCGTCACCAGTACCTCCTGTGCCTCTGCACGGGTCATGCCCTGGTGGTGTGCGGTGGAGAGGGGTGGGGAGGAGTGGGGAGGTGTTGGGAGGAGTTGGGAGGGAATGGGGGCCTGTGTGTGCCAAAGTAATTCGTGTCCGTCACCAGCAACTCCTGTGCCTCTGCACCGGTCATGGCTGCCTGTTACCCAAAAGTAACTTGCGTATTGTGTTGCACCTACCTAAGGTCTCTCCCCCCCCTCACCCCCCAATCCAACCCCCCCCACAACCCCCCCCTCTTACTCACCTTGGACTTCCGAGCCTCATAGAGGATGTCCACGTAGGTCTCCAGGTTCGGCGCCGAGGCTGGGTTGACGATGTTAGCTCCGGTAAGGTCCACCCGAAGCTGCTTGGCCTGGGTGAGGATGAGATCTGGATTGCCCACAAGCGTGAGCTGGCAGAGCGACCGCCTCAGCACCTCCCCTGCTGCCTGCACCGTGCGCGGCTCTGCTCCCTGGTGGCAGAAAGAGGGGAAAGAAAGAGCAGGGAGAATGAGCAGGGAGAAAGAGCAAGGGGGACAAGAGGGAGGGAGGGAGTTGGCACAGCGACCTGCGGAGTATACCTCCCCTGCTGCCTGCACCGTGCGCGGCTCTGCTCCCTGTGTGGCAGAAAGAGCAGGGAGAAAGAGTAAGGGGGAAGGGAGGGAGGGAGGGAGTTGGCAGAGGGAACGCCTGAGAACCTCCCCTGCTGCCTGCACCGCGCGAGGCTCTGCACCCTGGTGTGTGGGGGATACGGAGGGGGAGGGGGGAATTGGGTTGGGGAAGGGAGAAACAGGCGTACCTCTGGCAGCACGACGTGGGACTGGGCGGCTCGGGCCTTCTCAAAGATGCCGTGCTGGAAGAGCTTAGGGTTCATGCGGAGAGGTTTCTAGAGTGGTGCAATGCGGTGCATACCTCTGGGAGCACGACGTGTGACTGGGCGGCTCGGGCCTTCTCAAAGATGCCGTGCTGGAAGAGCTTGAAGTTCATTCATGCGGAGAGAGGTTTCTAGGGGTGCAGTGCGGTGGTGGTGGTTTTAACAGGCGTACATCTGGTAGCATCACAGCAGTAACAAGCGTACCTCTGGCAGCACGACGTGTGACTGGGCGGCTCGGGCCTTCTCAAAGATGCCGTGCTGGAAGAGCTTGGGGTTCATGCGGAGAGGTTACTAGAGCGGTGCAATGGGGTGCAGGTGGCTGTAACATGCGTGCAGTGCGGTGCGGGTGGCAGGCGTACCTCTGGCAGCACCTCGGCTGTAGCATAGCATACCTCTGGCAGCACCTCGGCTGTAGCATAGCATACCTCTGGCAGCACCTCGGCTGTAGCATAGCATACCTCTGGCAGCACCTCGGCTGTAGCATAGCATACCTCTGGCAGCACCTCGGCTGTAGCATAGCATACCTCTGGCAGCACCTCGGCTGTAGCATAGCATACCTCTGGCAGCACCTTGGCTGTAGCATAGCATACCTCTGGCAGCACGACGTGGGACTGGGCAGCTCTGGCCTTCTCAAAGATGCCGTGCTGGAAGAGCTTGGGGTTCATGCGGAGAGGTGTTTCTAGAGCGGTGCAGTGCGGTGGAGGAGACGTATCACAGCTTGTAACGTACCTCTGGCAGGACGACGTGGGACTGGGCAGCTCTGGCCTTCTCAAAGATGCCGTGCTGGAAGAGCTTGGGGTTCATGCGGAGAGGGCGCTCCTTGAAGAGCACTTGGTTGAGCACCCGCATGTCCACATGCTCGTGAAACATGACCTGGGGGGAGGAGAGAAGGAGCAAAAGAACAGCAAAGGGAAGCACATGTTGCTTGAAGAGCACCTGGTTGAGCACACGCATGTCCACATGCTCGTGAAACATGACCTAAGGGGGAGGCAGGGCGACAAAGGGATAAAAGGAGCGAAAAAACAGCAAAGGGAACCATATTTAGGGGATGTTCCTTGAAGAGCACTTGATTGAGCACTCGCATGTCCACATGCTCGTGAAACATGACCTGGGGAGCGGGAAGGAAGAGGAAACAATGGAGAATCATTTCAGGAGACAAGAGCGCTCTTTGAATAGCACCTGGTTGAGCACTCGCATGTCCACATGCTCGTGAAACATGACCTGAGAGTGAGCAAGGGGGAGAGAAAGGGAGAGTAAGAGTGGGGTTCACGTGCAAGGGGCGCTCCTTGAAGAGCACTTGATTGAGCACCCTCATGTCCACATGCTCGTGAAACATGACCTGGGGAGGAGGCGGGGCAGGGGCAGGAGCAGACAAAGGGAGAGCAGGGAAGGACAGTTTATGTTTCACCCGCTCACCTCAGCCCTTTCAATCTTCCTGGTGGACGTGGGATGCAGCTCGGAGTCCGCTTGAGCGAGGTCCAGGCACGTGTCGTACGTGGCCTTGGGGGCAGAGAGAGTACCACCCCTGCACTGCCCACCCCTTGGCCTTGGGAGCAGAGAGCACTGTCCTTCTCACCTCAGCCCGCTCAATCTTCCTGGTGGACGTGGCATGCAGCTCGGAGTCTGCCGTGACGAGCTCCAGGCACGTGTCGTACGTGGCCTTGGGTTGGGCCTTGGGGCCAGCAGCAGCACCATTGCGCACCCCTTCGCCTTACCACGAACCCATCTATACTCCTTTAGAGCTCCACCAACGCACCTCAGCCCTCTCGATCTTCCTGGTTGAGGTGGGATGCAGCTCAGAGTCTGCCTTGGCGAGATCCAGGCACGTGTCGTACGTGGCCTTGGGGGCCAGCAGGACAGGTAGTGACACTCTGGTCGGACGGGTCTGGGGAATACGGACAGGGGAGTGGAAACACAGAGGAGAGACAATAAGGGTAGTTGGTGCATGCTGCATTGCTGCTCCCAGTGTGCCCTCATGAGCTCCAGGCACGTGTCGTACGTGGCCTTGGGGGCCAGCAGCACTGGGAGAGACACTCGGGTGGGACGGGTCTGGAGAGGGGCACGGGGATGGGCAGGGGGAAGGGAGGAGCGAGCAGGGGAGAGGCGGGTAGGGGAGGGAGAGGACACACAGAGGAGCGGACGAGATTGGGGCAAAAGGCATGTGCAACTCGAGTGTGCCTTGGCGATTCAACTTTAGTCAACTGCGTCAATCCAAGTCAACGAACAAGTTATATTAAGTCAATCGAGTCATCCCTAGTCCATCAAGTCAACCCAAGTCAATTGGGTAGTGAATCCAAGCCAATCCAAGTCAATCGAGTTCACCCAAGTTAGGTGAGTCAACCCAAGTCATGCAAGTCAACCAAGGTCAACCAGAGTCAACCCGAGCCAACCGAGGTCGACCCACTCACCCGGATCAGCTCGTCCACCTCAGCAGGGGGCGGAGCCCCCTAAGTAAGCACCATGGCCGCCACCTGCGTGCTCAGGTGCGTCTCATGCAGGTCGATCATCCCGAGCAGAATATCCCCCCCCTGCCGGGCTGCTGCTGTTACCAGTCAACCAAAGTCAACCCAAGTCAAGCAGGGTAAAAGTGACTCACCCGGATCAGCTCGTCCACCTCAGCAGGGGGCGGAGCCCCTCCCGTCAGCACCATGGCCGCCACCTGCGTGCTCAGATGCGTCTCATGCAGGTCGATCAAGTCAACGCCAGTCAACCCAGCTCAACCCAGGTCAACCCTGGTCAACCCACACTCACCCGAATTAACTCATCCACCTCAGCAGGAGGAGGAGCCCCCCCTGTGAGCACCATGGCCGCCACCTGCGTTCTCAGGTGCGTCTCATGCAGGTCGATCATCCCCAGGAGGATATCCGGGCGGCTGGCATGCGCTATAACAAGTGCGCCTCTAGCGGGGTCGTCTGAGGGCGGGATGAGCGTGAGGATCTCCGCGAGGTGCAGTATTGAGACCAAGCCAACCCAAGTCAACCAGAGTCAACCAGGGTAAAAGTGACTCACCCGGATCAGCTCATCAACCTCAGCAGGAGGAGGCGCCCCCCCCGTAAGCACCATGCCCGCCACCTGCGTGCTCAGGTGCGTCTCATGCAGGTCGATCATCCCGAGCAGAATATCCCCCCCCTGCCGGGCTGCTGCTGTTACCAGTCAACCAAAGTCAACCCAAGTCAAGCAGGGTAAAAGTGACTCACCCGGATCAGCTCGTCCACCTCAGCAGGAGGCGGAGCCCCTCCCGTCAGCACCATGGCCGCCACCTGCGTGCTCAGATGCGTCTCATGCAGGTCGATCAAGTCAACGCCAGTCAACCCAGCTCAACCCAGGTCAACCCTGGTCAACCCACACTCACCCGAATTAACTCATCCACCTCAGCAGGAGGAGGAGCCCCCCCAGTAAGCACCATGGCCGCCACCTGCGTGCTCAGGTGCGTCTCATGCAGGTCGATCATCCCGAGCAGAATATCCGGGCGGCTGGCGTGCGCTATAACGAGGGCGCCTCTCGCGGGGTCGTCTGAGGGCGGGATGAGCGTGAGGATCTCAGCGAGGTGGAGGGTTGCGACCATGGTTTTGGTGATCTCGGTGGCCATGCTGTTGGCCGCGTGGGGGGTGTCCTCGCCGTAGAGTACCTGCGCGTGCAGCACCCTCCTCACGTCCTCCACCTGACACAGACAGACAGCATGGGAGGCAGAAAGAGGGACAGGCAGATAGGCGGAAAGAAAAGCAAAACACGAAAAAAAAACTCTACTACGATAGCAGCTTGATAGAGCTCGAACGCACGATTCCAACGCACCAAAGATTGTAGAAAACGATCAACTATAGCCAAAAATACACACAAACACATGAGTGGTGGTAACTTAGTTGATTTCTGGTTTGTGCTCTCTGATTTTATATACTACTAGAACGCAGCACAAAAACAAAGCTCAAAAGAAAGTGTCGACCCAAGTCGCACGCTGAATTTCGTCTACGCAAATTTCCGAGCCTTGAATTTCGCCGGGCAAATTCCATTGACTGGAATTCCGTAGATGAGAATTTCGGCGACCAGAATTCCGTTGACCACCGAAATGTAACTTCCGTGCGAATTCCGTTGACTTTGACACTTTGCTGGCGAGTTTCAATCCGAACGCGACCTTTGACCGGCCCTGCCAAACTGTCCCCAAAACTGTCCTGAGAAAGACTCTTTTGGAACAGTTGGATCAAAGGGTCTCCAGTTCGAATCTCGCGTGCACCATAAGCATCTAGCTCTCTTGCATAAACTATTCGAATTCTGTCCTGAGACACTTTCAGAACAGATTCAAGGTCACGGGTTCGAATCCCAGCTCCGGCACTTTGTTGCTCATGGCAACATTTCATTCTAACAAGGGAGAGGCAGGCAGACGCACCTGGAAGGACTCGAGGGACTTGTCTGCAGGGAGAGCCCCCAGGAACGGAATCCCTGCCTCGGTGATGTACTCCCTGAGCCGGGTGGTTCCCCGGGAAGTCCTGGGCGTGCGGTAGAGCAGCGCGCCGGCGATATCGACGCTGCTCTGCCTCATGATGCGCGCATGGTCCAAGATGCAGCTCGCCGCCTCCTTCTCAAAATCCCACGCCTCAAACCGGCCCCCCGCCTGGTGGGGGGAGGGGGGAGGGGGGGAGGGGGGAGGGGGGAGGGGGGAGGGGGGGAGGGGGGAGGGGGAGGGGGAGGGGGAGGGGGAAAGGCAAGAAAGGGGGATTGGCGTTAAGAAAAAAGTCCCAAGGCAGCAGCAGCAGCAGCAGCAGGAGGTGGGAGCAGGGAGGGGGAGGTAGAGCAGGGCGCCGGCGATGTGGACGCTGCTCTGCCTCATGATGCGCGAATGGTCCAAGATGCAGCTCGCCGCCTCCTTCTCAAAATCCCACGCCTCATACCGGCCCCCCGCCTGGTGGGGAAGGGGGAGGGGGGGAGAGGGGAGGGGGAGGGGGAGGGGGCGGGGGAGGGGGAGGGGGAGGGATTTGGGTTAGGAATCAGCTGCTCCCAAGGCAGCAGCAGCAGCAGCAGCAGCAGCAGCAGCAGCAGCAGCAGCAGCAGCAGGAGGTGGGAGCAGGGAGGGGGAGGTAGAGCAGCGCGCCGGCAATATCGACGCTGCTCTGCCTCATGATGCGCGCATGGTCCAAGATGCAGCTCGCCGCCTCCTTCTCAAAATCCCACGCCTCAAACCGGCCCCCCGCCTGGTGGGGGCGGAGGGGAGGGGGAGGGGGAGGGGGAGGGGGAGGGGGAGGGGGAGAGGGGGGGGTGGAGCACAGATTCCTAAAAAAAGGAGACTGCAAGCAAATAAGCGAGTCACTTCGTAATGCTCCGTAATTACTTCTTGTTCATGTTTTTCGGTTTCCCTTTGTCTTTGTTCTTATGCTTACCTCGTGATGCTTGAAGTGGTGGTGGGAGGCGGCGATGCAGTCAGTGAGGAGCAGAGCGGGGCACTCGAGGGCGGACGCAATGAGTCCGTTGATGGGCGACGTGTTGAGTCGACTCAAACTCACCTCGTGGTGCTTTCTCTTACCTCGTGGTGCTTGGGGTGGTGGTGCTTTCTCTTACCTCGTGGTGTTTGTGGTGGTGGTGCGAGGCAGCGATGCAGTCAGTGAGGAGCAGGGCGGGGCACTCAAGGGCGGACGCAATGAGTCCGTTGATGGGCGACGTGTTGGACCCATCCCGCATGGACGTGCCCTCCACCACCACAAAGTCGTGATACCGCTTGTGCCTCTCATACGCTGGTGGAGGGGGCAAGAGGGGGTGTGAAGTGAGGAGTAGGTTAGGCTATAGAACAGACCATCCCGCATGGACGTGCCCTCCACCACCACAAAGTCGTGGTGCCGCTTGTGCCGCTCGTACGCTGGGGGAGAGGGGGGTAAGGGGAGAGAAGTGAGGGTGCTTCGAGAGTGGTTCACGTGTTGGACCCATCCCGCATGGACGTGCCCTCCACCACCACAAAGCCGTGATACCGCTTGTGCCGCTCGTACGCTGGTGAACAGGGGGGTAGGGGGAGAAGAGTGAGGGTTGAGAGTGGTTCACGTGTTGGACCCATCCCGCATGGACGTGCCCTCCACCACCACAAAGTCGTGGTGCCGCTTGTGCCTCTCGTACGCTGGTGGGGGAGAGGGGTGGGTGGGGTGGTGGGAGGGGTGGGTTAGGGTCTATAATAGATTATCCCGCATGGACACTCCCTCCACCACCACAAAGGCCTGATTCCCAGAGGCCTTCCATACCCAGAGGTACACCCAACTGAGTCATTCCCGCATTTCTTAAGCACCCATCTAGAATGACCCACCTGAGATGACCCACCTGAAACAACCGCCTCAAGCAGGTCGTCGATCTTGTCAGCCGCCAGCAGCGAGTAGGCCTGGTCCTGGGTGAGCGCGAACACGACCTCTGGAGGCGTCTGAGCCAGCCCCAGTACCAGAGGGTCAGAAACATTGGCTGGAACCCACCTGAGATGACCCACCTGAAATAACCGCTTCAAGCAAGTCGTCGATCTTGTCAGCAGCCAGCAGCGAGTACGCCTTGTCCTGGGTGAGCGCCAACATGTCCTCTGGAGGTAACCTGCTTCCTAGGTAAAGAGGCTTCGGGGAGTATCCAAGTACAGCAGAGACATTACTAGAACGGACCTGAAATAACCACCTCCAAGAGATCGTCGATCTTGTCAGCAGCCAGCAGGGAGTACGCCTGGTCCTGGGTGAGCGCGAACATGTCCTCTGGGGGCGTGTTGATGTGAAACACCTTCTTCATCAGATCAACGCGGTTACCGCCGTGCGACGTCTGGTCGATGGGTCGGAAATACCCCACGCCCGGCCGGAGCACCTGAGTAGGAAGGAAGGCAGGGTTGGGGGTTGTTTGAGTAAATCTCTAGCCCGCAGGCTTGTCCTCTGGGGGCGTGTTAATGTGAAACACCTTCTTCATGAGGTCTACGCGGTTACCACCATGGGACGTCTGGTCGATGGGACGGAAGTAACCCACGCCTGGGCGCAGCACCTGGTTTGAGTAGAGATGGGGGAAGTGGGGTAGCACTGTAGCAGTGAGAGAGAGCATTGTGTCAAGGCGAGGATGGACTTGAATTGGGACGACTCAAATTGTTATCTCCGTGCGGAGTCTGTCCCGATGACTTGAAAGACGCATTCGCATCAACTCAAAGTTACACTGATGTCATCACGCCATGGCTCAGTTGCAGCGCGTGCATGAGGCCGACGCTGAGAGCAGCAGAGTGTCAACACGGTGTTTGAGTCGACTGAATACTGACGCATGAACATTAAACGTACCTGATAAGCTCGCGCCACGGCTCACCTGCAACGCGTGAATGAGGCCGACGCTGAGAGCGGCGGAGTTGACCTGCCTCCCGACGCTGGCGTGCGGCAGAGAGCGTCGTTCGGATCGGGACAACGTGACAGTCGTTCACACGCCAGACGTCGCAGACATTGAGTCAGGCGTCGCAGACATCATGTCAGGAGTCGCAGACATGGCGTCAGGAGTCGCAGACATTGCGTCAGGCGTCGCAGACATCATGTCAGGTGACACAGACAGGACACAGCACACGGCGAGTCAAAAGACACATCAATGTACGACGGCAATGTCACATTGGCACGGCATTCCCCCACCACATTCATTCAACAGAAGAGGAGAGAGGAGATAGGAGAGAGGAGGGAGGAGAGGAGGATGAGAGACAGATTGTGGATGCATCAATCAGGACGGTCTAAATTCAGGCCAAATTCACGAAGAATCCCTTAGCAAGCTCTCGTGCTCAAATGCACGTGCTTTCTTGTTGACCTATGCTTTATCAGTATGAAGCATTTGCAAGCTTATCTAGCTCATGTCTCGTCAAAAAGCGGACAGCTGATCAGAATGCTTCAAGAGCTGGTTTGAGGGATACACCGCATCCAATCAGAAGGCGGGAGGCGGAAACGGGATAACATTGAATCCAAGACAGAAGTCACGTCTTCGACGGAGTTCAAACGCGAAGCGAAAATGGAATAGAATGTGACTTAGAGACGCCTAAAATTGGTCAGTGGGTTAACATGAGGGAACTCGGAGGGGTTCAGACTCTCGAAAATTTAACAAAGAATAATTGGGAGAACACGCGCGTACTCTGAGTGGTGAAGGTAGATGCTCCCTTCAAACCCGCCAGCGGCTTTTTTCGCAGCCTGCTCCTGCTGGCGACCTGCGGAGCTACTGATAAGCCTCCTGAAAGCACCCGGCGCAGCGAAATCTCCCTCCTTGGATCGCACATGCGACGAATTCAGCAAGTGACCCGGTTCCGCTAAGGCCATTTCCGGCGCGACTTGCGCGGAGCATCCCCGAATTCTCGGGTTCCAGGCTCGTCCATGGTTAGTGGAGTAGGGTCTGTTCGAACGCTGCTTCGCTCCATGCTCAAGAGCCTTCTTTCCGAGAAACCGCAACATTGTTCCGGCTCACTCAGGACACGCTTTCAGCCACTTCCAGATCACCAGCACGCAATCTGAAACCAAGAGAGTTGTGAATCTGTAAGCAAGCCCTGGGATTTGCAATGGTTAGGTTTCCGGACGGCTCGCAAGGCGACACGAAAGCCGCCTAGGGATTTACGGCGTGGCTCAAGCAGAACGGCTAAGAGTCACCTATGCTGACGAAAACCAAGAAAGGCTAGCAGACGGAAATGGTCATGAAAATGAAATGGTGGTGGTGAAGCTCCATAAATGAAAGGTGTGGTGGTGGGTAAGCCCAAGGGGAGAAAATCTTCACCTTGGAATTCCCTGGCAGATGGTACAGTTCTGTACAGTTTTGCGCGGAAATTCCAGGGGTCAGCTGGGTGCGCAAAGGTTTGTGGTGGATGTTCCGCCAGTTTGGCGGGAATGGATTCGGCTGGTGCGTTGAAACCAGAGATAGTGAGCGAAAGGGCGGAATGGGGAAGGCGGAGCGGCACTGGGGATTGGTCGGACTTTGCGGAAGCCTGGCAGACTTGAAGTGCCACGCTCTTCCCGCGTGTATCCACGTGGAAATCCCGATGTAGGGACAGTCCCGGAATTTTGGGGTACCCTCTGCGCATCTGAAAGATCCTTTATGCGGGCGTGGCAGACTGACCCCTTGGACCTTGGGGTGAGCTGGAAAAGTTAGACTTCGTTCAGATTGGTGTCGCGTTATTAACATTAAGCATCACGAACTATATACGATTAGGGTGGAGAAATGTTTACAGTGGAAAACAATTAGGGGCAATTAGACTAGCATGACTTGCTAATATGATTCACATGATCATTCAACTCGTTAACCAGGCGACTGGACGTTGCCACTTGATAACGCAAATCCCCCAAAAGATCATGATGATGGCGTGACGAAGGCTTGGACCTCACACAAGCCAAAACAGCTTCCAAGATGGCATTTGCTTCTGCCATCCTCTGTGGCAGTGCAACAACCTCAGCATCCTGTCTTGTCTCCATTCGCACGTCTGATGCACCGTTGCCATCCGCACCGTCCAAGTCAATGCAAACGGTGTTGCCCTTCAAGGGTGGCTCTGATCCATTGAACACCTTCCCTTCAGAACCTTTACCTCCAAGCTGAAGCCATTGTGCCTCAACCCGCAGAGCAAGAACACGGCTTTCAGTGAGTTGCTGCTGCTGTTGCTGCTTCTGCTGATGCTGCAGGTGCTGGAAAATAAAACTCAATTCCTGCTCAGCTTCTTCAGGAGTCCACCCAGGCTTCATGAGAACATCCAACACAGTGCCAGATCCAGACTGCGGCAGGACTTTCCTCAAGAAGGCGTACTTCCTGGTATCCATGCCTGTGCTTGAGTGGCAGGCTGCAATTGCAGCATGCAGGGTAGAGAGAGATGAGTAAGCTGCTGGAAGATGGTGAGAGGAGAGCAAATTGTGAAGCAACTCCAAAGCGACTGGCTTGTGGATCAGCTCCTGCTGAGTCCAAGGGCTTGCAAAGAGTTGCGAGAGCAGCATGGCAGAAGCAGCAGCCACTTCCTCCACCAGCATTCTTGCCCCGGTCCATGGCTCCCCCACAGATCCACCATCTTGAGGATGTACTCGTTGAAGCACATGCAACATGGCATGGAGGACTGGTTCCACATCAGTCACACTGATTCCATCTGAGGTTCTGCTCACAGCAGCAAGTAACTGGGCAGCCCTTGCAAGCAATGGCTGCTGTGTTCCACCGTTCAGCTTCCCCTTGGAACAGTGGTCCAAATCAATCATGGGAGTATTCGAGTAGGGAGTGCTGCTCTGGTTGCTTCTGAAGCCAGTGAGTTGACCATGCCTGCTGCTGCCAATCAGGTGAGCACCATCGACCATATCAGATGGAACACGCAGAGTTGTGGCATCTGCAGCCAACTTGACAAGGTCCTTTGTGTTCGGGAAGACAGCAGGAAGCCCACTGGTGCCGCTCATGGGAGATTCAGCCCTGAAATCAAGCAATGATAAGAAGCACGTGATTATCAAGTGGTACAGACAAGAGGAAATGGTGAAACAGCAAAGAAAAAATGTCGATTTTCCATTCACACATAGTATTATCACCTCTCACGGAGCACAGCAGTGATGCTCGTCAGCATGCTTCCAAGCAAAGCCACCTGCTCCCATGAAACGTCCTGGGACGCATTTGCCATGATGTTTGCAGTTGCTGCCCGTGCTGCACCAAAGCATGCATGCGCAACTGGGAGGAGAGCAGCTGGCTGGCGTCTGTGGATCCCTGCTGCCATTCCGCGATCCAAAAGTTGAGAGAAAGCTAGAACAGAAGCGACTTCCTGGCTGATAGACTTGGGCGGGAAGGGAGTTGCGGTGCGACTGTGCTGTGAAACTGCACTGGCAGTTCCTCCAGCTGAAGCTGAAAACTTTGAAAACGATGAGTTGATGTGCCGGACAAACGGCTTGAGGAAGAGATCAGATACAGTCGTATCAGGGCATGCCATGAGGACATCAACCGTTGCACAGACTAGCCGCTCCTCCAGCCCAGTTACAATGCCCAACAGTCCTGTAGCACTGCTTTCTCTCAAACCTTTGGCCTGAGGCTTGGATTCATTCTTCACAGCAGTTTGCAAAGAGGCCTGAACAGAGCGAAGCAACAGCTCTGCGTGTCTTCTTGCAAGCTGAGGGTCTGAATGTCGAATGAGGAAGCACCACGTGTCCCGAACAAGCTCTGCACAGATGGGATGCTGGTGCACTGCATGTTGAAAGAGAAAGGCTTCAACCTCCTCCCAAAGCGCCAAAGACCCCAAAGCCTTCTGTTCCACATCCCTGGAAGCGGGCTCACACGAACTGTTAACTCTGGCACCAATGACAGCCACAAGGACCTTGAGTCCACGGGTTAGTTGTGAAAACAGGGTCACCCGCCTCGTTGTCCTTCCTGCTGCCGCTGTCCCCCCCTTGTCAGTTCCCTCCTTCCGCTGGTTTGAAAATGGCCAGATGACTCGGGAAAGCAGTGGGATGTAGGAATGCTGGTCTGCCGCAAGACTGATTAAATCACCCAGGCTATTGGTCACCACACTCAGCACTTGATCACTGTATGAGGCAGAGCCTTCCAGGATTGTGGTGGCAGTCACCAGCCTCCCACACGACTGCCACTCAGCCATCTCTGGGCTGTGCTGCTCCAGACCAATAAAATTGTTCCGTGGTAATTGATAACAGCTCCCCCCCTTCGTTGAACCCTCGGCATTGACGCCTGCAGATGAAACCACCCTCCAAATCATATTCGTCGGTGCTCCTCGAGATCCAGATGCTGGGAGAATCAGGAGGATAAGGTTGGACTTGGCAATCTCTGAGACTTTCTCCGAGTTCAGAATGTTGTGAACAAGCCCAAACATTGTAGGACCCAGCATCTGCGCTATAGATTCTGCAACCGGAAACGGAACTGGCCACTTCAAACCGCTCCCCTTCTGTACTCTGCCTTCCGCACATCTCCCATCTCCATCACTGTAATGAAGAAGTCCCGCATAAGCGAACAGCAGGCCGGCCATGTCTTCTGAGGCGGCTGGATCACATGCCTCTGCTGGGTAAAGAAGTGCCACGCGAATGGCGTTATTCTGGAAGAACTTCGTCAGCATGAAGACTCGCTGAAGCGTCTTGTTA